TTTTGGAAAATGGGCGTGGCACCGCCCACTTATGATCACATATATGTATCTGGGTAACCGTTCTACCAATTTGTACCAAACTGGGTATGGTTATTGTGCTTGCAACATAGAAGCAAAGCGTTGAAAATTATTGAAATCGGACTAAAATTGAGGCCGAGGTAACATAAAATAATTTCAGGAGCAGGTAATAATGTACCTTTGTACTATTTAGCATGTCATTGGTCGATAACAAGAGCAACTTAAATTTAAATCTATTAAATACATTCTAGCGTGTCTCAGTCCTTTGCCCACAAAAGCGGCTATAACTTTTTTCTATTCGAAACAGTAAGAGTGGCACCTTTCTGAAATCCTTATTAAATGAGCAACTTTTTATGTAATGTCAAGTTATAGCTCAGTACAATTTTTTCACCAGAGATAGTCAAAGTTGGGGAAGAAAATATCAAAAAGTTAAAAATCCCAAAATAGTACTAATTTTATGATGGTTCCTTAATATATTTTAACTAAATTGCATTTGAGTATGGAGAAGCAACTATCTGGAAGTATTTTACAAAAAAATCTACTCAGTATAGCCTGGTTTGTAGATGCAGTTAAAGAAAATACATGAAAAGGCACGTTTCTTTTTAATAAAAAAAATGTAAATATTTCAAAAACGGTGACACTTTTACCTGAAAATTTTGTGTTTATCAAGGAGATTAATTTCGAAAATGTGTATTAAGAGCGAATTCGCATAGTTTATCCANTCACATTTCTCAAGTTATGGAAACACAGACATTTCCACAAGTTTTGCAAACAAGTAAATACTTGCACATTTTACTCGATACCCACCAAGTACTTGTGCAAGCGCATCGAAGTAAAAAAAAAAACGAAGTACTTGATAGAGATATTTGCAAAAGTACTTATTTCGGATTTTTCCCAATCTGATTGCATGTACTACCCACATGATTGACTTTTGAAGACGACAGTTTTAAGTTATTTGCAAAGAAGCCAGTTGCTGAACCGTCTATATTTTCTTGCTATTTGACTGTACATTACAAGATTAATTTCGAAAATGTGTATTAAGAGCGAATTCGCATAGTTTATCCAGATATGAAAACCATATCCGAACAAAACCACTTAAAATTGGATGTGTTTGTAAATGATGGAATGAATAAAGACTTGTTGAGGCTTTGATACTATTGGTCATATGTATGCACATTAGGGTGGTCCAAAATTGCATGTGAAAAAGTAAAGTCGGAATTTTTATGCTCTCACCCCCTAGGACTGTTCTATGCCAAAAAAATGTACCCTTAATTTTTTATTTTGAAATCAAAAAATATTTAGAGGTCGCTCAAAGCGCCCAAAGCTTTCCATGTATTTTATATGGGGAAAAACAACTTTTCATAGAAATGGTATGGAACAGTAAAAAATCAATATTTTTCTACCAGAAAACTCTGTTTATCTGCAGGAGATTCCCAATAATAATACCCATTTGTTTATTTAACCATTTTTTCATTGCAACTCTAATTTATAGGTCCGCGAAAAACCCACAAAAACCCCGAAAATGCAATGGGGCGATCAATAAAAAATCGTTAGTATTAAAAAAATGCGTGTGTAACACCGTACATATGATAGAATGGAAACTTCTTAAAAAAGGTGTGAGTATCAGGTACCTACTAACGAAATTGGATGTGTAAACATATGTTTATGGTTCGGCAAACCATTAGGCGATTGAGTTACATACATAGGTTTGGTTAGAAATCAAGCAATAATTTCATTTCATCTTATTAATTTTCTGATATACATATAATTTATTTATTCATTTTCCGGTAACACCACCTTATATGAATTCGCGCTTCTAGCATCCATAGGACCGGGTTGTAATGCAAGTAATTGTATGTTTAACAAATAAATGAAAATGTTTATAATGCAATCGATATATCGCCATTACCAAGGTACTAAGTAACGTACGCACTTTTGTTTGCAAAATGCATTTATTTAAGTTGAAAGAAGACAAATTCCTTTGTTCGGCATTTATTCTTACTCGCTTTCTATCTTCCAAGTCGAATTCTTATATTCTTATCACGAATTCTTATATTCATGTGGTAGCAAGAGTATAAAAACATAAAATTACCTTCTAAATTAAAAGCATAAGTATCACCAGAGTGCCCAGATTTGGCGATTTTTTTTTTTTTTGATATTTGCGCGTAAAAATTTAGGAAACCGCCATTGGCGATTTTTGTCGATTTTTTCCAATCAAATACATTTTTCCTATTTAAAAAAAATATACAAAACTTAGTTTTCCACGATAATTTTACAGAAGAGGCTAATGAACTGCGTGATAAATTGACTTAAAAAGCATATTAAAAAAACTGTCAAAAATATTTAATCACCCTAATCGAAGAGCTTTTCAAGCGCTTACCTAGTCAATTAAATACTTTTAAAAAAGCTTTAATTTTGTCACCCGAAAAGTGTGTGAATCACAAGAGCGAGAGTTTCAGGGACCTGCCAATTCACTGCCATCTGACTCTGAAGAATTTTGGATAATTACTTACGGAGTGAAAACCGCAACAGGCAATGAAAAGTTTGGAAATATGAGTAAAGTAGCCTTCATATTATGATCCTTGCCACACTCACATGCTTTTGTTGAGCGCGTTTTTCCGTAATTAATTCAACAAAAACTAAGATTCGAAATAGGATGAGGTTGGAAAGCGTTAATTCAAAAGTTCGAATAAAGTGTTATATGAAGGCTAATAGTTTCTGCTGCAACACGTTTCTAATATCAAAAGAATGTTATCAAGATTGAATAGCTCAATATATGGCAACAACTGAAATGTAAATGATTCATACACTAAAGGTGATTTTGAAAAAATTTTAGAAATAGCTGTTCTCGCTTTATTTTTTTTTTTATTTTTAGCGCCGAGTTTTTAAAAGCGGATTGTGCGATTAATCAATTAATATGAGTTATAATAAATTTAATAATTGCGCAGTCCTGTTGCAAAATGTGTTGAAACCAATATTTTTAAACAGTATGCGCATTTTTAAAGAAAATCGTTTGTACATCACTAATATATAAGTGATTTGTGTTATTTATTATTACCCTCTGAAAGTACTATATTCGGNTCGATTTTTTCCAATCAAATACATTTTTCCTATTTAAAAAAAATATACAAAACTTAGTTTTCCACGATAATTTTACAGAAGAGGCTAATGAACTGCGTGATAAATTGACTTAAAAAGCATATTAAAAAAACTGTCAAAAATATTTAATCACCCTAATCGAAGAGCTTTTCAAGCGCTTACCTAGTCAATTAAATACTTTTAAAAAAGCTTTAATTTTGTCACCCGAAAAGTGTGTGAATCACAAGAGCGAGAGTTTCAGGGACCTGCCAATTCACTGCCATCTGACTCTGAAGAATTTTGGATAATTACTTACGGAGTGAAAACCGCAACAGGCAATGAAAAGTTTGGAAATATGAGTAAAGTAGCCTTCATATTATGATCCTTGCCACACTCACATGCTTTTGTTGAGCGCGTTTTTCCGTAATTAATTCAACAAAAACTAAGATTCGAAATAGGATGAGGTTGGAAAGCGTTAATTCAAAAGTTCGAATAAAGTGTTATATGAAGGCTAATAGTTTCTGCTGCAACACGTTTCTAATATCAAAAGAATG